TGTCTCTCTCTATCAAACAAATAAAATCTTTAAAAAAAAAAAAGGCAGACGCTTAACGACTGAGCCACCCAGGCGCCCCTAGGCATCCATATTCTTTAAACAAGTCCTTGGCCACTTCTACAATTTAGATCCGACACTAGTCCCAAGATCAGCCACTCACCCAACTCTTCCTTTCCCCACCCCCACCTCTTATTCTCCCCTCCACCTTTCCCTCACTTCCACCCTCCTCTCCCCCATCTGCCCCAGGAATATCCTAGAACTCCAAGCTAGGCTCCTTGGTCATTCCCAAGCTCAGCTCCAGGCCCTCCTATGCATAATTCAAACCCACCCCCAACGCCTGAACAAGAACCAAGGAATCCATGAGGAGCTCAAAGACCCAGAGGTTTCCTTAACAGGATTAACTCTCTTCAGTTGCCCTTGTGATTTTAAAGAGCAATTACCTTTTTTTTTCTTCAATGACATACATACTGTTTTGTTACAGATTGACAAACCATTCTAAAAGGCTATTCCAGGGGTGCCTGGGTGGCTCAGTCAGTTAAGCGTCTGCCTTCGGCTCAGGTCATGATCCCAGGGTCGTGGGATCGAGCGCCCGCATTTCTCCCTCTCCGTCTGCCTGCTGCTCACCCTGCTTGTGCTCTCTCTCAAATAAATGAAATCTTTAAATAAATAAATAAATAAAAGGCTGTTCCAATATACACTCCAAGTTCAGGGCTTGATTGCTTAGCCCCTCCCCATAGCTACAGCCTGGCACATGATTCGTGCTCAGGCCAAGGGTGCAGAGGGACGGCCATGGTCAGGGCCTGCCCTGGGAGTCTCACACACCACTCCCCAACCCTACCTGCTCTCCCCAGGGTTCTGGGTGCTGACCCCCAAGACGAAGCAGACGGTGCCCCTCACCATCGCTGCTGCCCGAGGCTACACTGACTGCGCCCGCCACCTGATCCGGCAGGGAGCGGAGCTGGATGCCCGGGTTGGGGGCCGGGCAGCCTTGCATGAGGCCTGTGCCCAGGCCCAGTCTGACTGTGTGCAGCTGCTGCTGACCTTTGGTGCCAAGGCCAACGTGTTGTCCGAGGAGGGCACGACCCCCTTACACCTCTGCACAGCCCCTGAGTCCTTGAAGTAGGTACCCAGGGGAGGGGTGTGTGTGTGTGTGTGTCTCCAGCTGACACGGCCAGGAGAAGGGGAGAAGCACCTCACATACACACATCCTCATGACAATCTAGGAGACAGGTCTCATTCCACTGGTGAGAAAATTGAAGCTCAGAAAGGTTTAGGGACTTGTCCAAGGTCACATAAGCTAAGCCCAGGAGGCAGAAGCCTTGTTGCCTTTTTGGAAAACCCTGTTCCAACTGCAGTCCCCTATCCCCTGTGAATCCTCTGTAGCCAAATTCCTACCTGTTTCGAGGTGGGCATCAAGAAAGATGTAGCCCTTGGGCGCCTGGGTGGCTCAGTTGGTTAAGCGACTGCCTTCGGCTCAGGTCATGATCCTGGAGTCCCGGGATCGAGTCCCGCATCGGGCTCCCTGCTCGGTGGGGAGTCTGCTTCTCCCTCTGACCCTCCCCCCTCTCATGTGCTCTCTCTCTCCTCTCATCCTCTCTCTCAAATAAATAAATAAAATCTTAAAAAAAAAAAAAAAAGAAAGATGTAGCCCAGTGTTTCCCAGCCTTAGTACAAGGCCTCCCCCCACACCCCACCTCCCACATTTTTAAGATCAACAGGTTTTTTTGGGGGGGGTGGAAGGTTGAGCAAAATGGGTGAAGGGGAGTGGGAGATACAGGTTTCCAATTATGGAATGGGTAAGGCTCAGGAATAAAAGGTTCAGCATAAGGAATATAGTCAATGATACTGTGATAGCGATGTAACAGGACACACAGTAGTTAC